GGGACTGAAAATGCTCTGATTTTGACATTTACAGAGAGCTTCACTGGAAATCAAGTTAAGTGTTCACAAAAATGTGGTTATTTCATAAGTTAGTCCAGGATTGACATGAAAGTGGTGGTGCTGGCAGCATGTGACAAATCACAGACATGGAAATGCCTCTAACGCCTAAACCCATTCCAGGAATAATAACATAATATTCCACAGAACTGATTGGTCAGTAGGCAGTGATTTCATCACACCTTTTAATCTCTAATCTGTAATTTAGTACAAGATTACATCTTTGCCATAGTGCTTTAGCTCTTGTAAGTCATGAACCGCCTTTGGTACAACATCCCAGGTGATCAATACTGTAGGTAACGTTGGGGAAAATAACAACAGACACAGAGTTTGTGTGTTAATACTGAGGCTGTTAAACAAACAGAAATGGATTTAAGTTGTTGTTTGAACGTCTTGCTCCTCCTGTACTCATCTGTCAAATCTGATTCTTCACACAGACATTTGACAGATTTAATCTCCAAACTAGAAGTTTATTTTTATAATCCAACACCAAGGTTTGAAACCTTCACCCTCAGAGAATAAAGACAAGTACACTAATGAATATCATAACTGAAATATAGTGCTACAGATCCCCATGTGGAAATCAGCCTATTTATAATTATTTATCATTCTTAGTGTTATGTATTTATTAGTCTTCCTTTGTCTCTCAGAGCTCTGAATTGTGGATGTATCCACTGAGCGGTGCTGCTGTTTGGTCCAAAAGCTAAAATGAGCGTAGAGGTGTGCAGCGTGTGCAGCTTCTCTTACCTTCTGCAGCTCTGATGGAGGATGAGGAGGAAGGAGGAGGTAGCAGATGGGCAGATTCATCTGTTGGTGTCTCTGTGTGAGACAAACTGCTGCTCTCTCTGTCTCTCTCTCTTTATTTGCATCCTTCAGGCGGTCCACACCCCAGAGGAGAGAAGAGGTGGAGGTGGAGTCCACAGTGGAGCTACCTGATGTGAAGTGCTCGCTACTGATTCAGCACTGTGTGGGTCAGCACCACAGGGGAACAATGAACTGTGTGAAGAAAAAAAAATCAATAACAATGACACATCTGAAATCACTGTTTCTAATTTAAAGCAGTGAAAAGCAAAAAGTGAAAAAAGTACAAAAAAAATGTTGATTTTAGAAAAAATACAGAAAAAAACAGAACATGTGATCAGACAGACTACGACAGGCCTACTCTCATATTCTCAGATATTTCACAGGACTTCATAAACTCTGTCCTACGTCAACTTTCCAGATAAGAAACAAATATCTCTACACTATCAAGAAAAAGCTGGGCTGTCCTTGGCCCTACAACCAACACATCCAGGCAGAGTTTATTGTACTCACAAAGGCTCCACGGAGACTAAAGTTTATTTAGGTGTTACCAGAGAAATGGGTTAACCCCCCACCAACAAAAACAGTGGATTATTATTCCAGTAATCCATTTGTTGGTAATAAATACAGTCTAAATGGAAAATGAATCTAAACTTTTCCCTTGTGTTTGGATAATATATGCAAGAAATCTCTTAAATCTATTAATCTGAAACAGAGTCACTTTGAATTCTGCAATCATCAACACCTGAAGGTTTCTCCAGTAAAACTATGGTAGAAAGAACCACAATGAAACATCACCATGAAATAAGTCAAAACCCATCAAACTCTATTTCGATTGGAGTTTGTTCCGATAGCAAAAACACACATTACATGTTAATGTTAGCATTCGAGGATAGTATTACGAGCAACTTAAGGAAATTCACAGACACAGAGTTTGTAGAAGGCAACATCGCATTCAGCGTATGTTGAATCGAATATGAATTTTCATTGTTTATCTAATTTGATAGAACAACAACAATCCTGCATGACTTCAGAAATCACGTTTCCACTAAGTATTTACATCGTAATGCAAATGAAAAACACATAGGAAAAAATGGTTATCATTAACAGATGAAAGGCTTTGGTTATTACTGGTATTAAACATGAGATATTTAGTTAGAAAATTGTAGGATTTTCATTTGTAACTTAGGTTTCAACCTTAGTTTTTACGTCACTCCACGCTTTTTTGTTTTTGTTCTTTTTTTAGTCATTTTTGTTATCTTCATAAATGGTCTTCTTCTATTTCTTCTTTGCCTTTTGCCTGTGACTTGTCTGGATTACTGTATTTCTTATGCTACCAGCTTTTGTGTGTAACAGCTGCTAGCTTAAAGATAACTATTTGAATTTTTGGATTTTACTCTGCGGCCAAGCATCCTTCACTTGGTTGGCTATTGTCATCACTTGATCCCTTAAAATGTAAATCAGCTCTAAGATGCTTCTTTTAGAATAATCTGAACAGAGGAAAACTACAAGGATATTCATATTACAGATTTAAAAGGGAACTCTGGAGCAGAGTGGGTTTGAGAGTATCTCAGGGTCTTGGTCATTAGTGAGCGGAGAGTGGATCAAGAGACTAACCGATGGTTTGGTGTGGTGTCTGCAGTGATGCTGAACAGTTGGATCAGGAGGAAAGAGGAGGAAGGAGAAAAGCTTGAAAAGCTTTCTATAGTCAGTTTATCCATTATTTGAATATCATATGATGCATTTGAGTACACAGTGTATTTGCACACTATCATATTTGTGTTATATGCGTGGTATCTTGTTACCTTGACAAAAATATTGTGTTGGAATCAGTATACGTCACTGTGGGGGTTTGTATAAAGCAGTCAAAGCCTGGCGTAAACATAACATTAGATAAAAAAAGGAAAAACTAACATTTTCTAAAAAGCAGAAAAAGCAACTCGAGTTGTTGTATCTATGTCATAAACACATCTACATACTTGTGCATATATAGATATAATAACAAACAGCAGCACACAATCAGCGTAAACCCCATGTACCTTCATAATTATATTGAATACTGTACCTTAAGGACCTGACAATATTAAAGAGAAAACCCCAACAATTAGATGAAGCCCCTATCAGCAAGGACTCGCAAAAGTGATGTGAAAACACATAGTGAATGAAAGTGGCTGAGTGATGAAGAAATGCTCAGTGCATTATGGGAATCCCCCAGCACCCTGGGCCTAGTGCAGTGTAACTAAGGGAGGAATCCTAACTACATATCAAAAAGGAAAGTTTTAAGCTTAATTTTAACAGTGGATGCCTGTCTCCCAAATCCAGACTGTCTCCCTTTCTATTGTTAATTATCCTAGGAACCCAATATCATAGCAAAGTGTATCATAGACATGTTTCAGTACTGCATACAGAAATTTCAGTACCAGCAGGGGGAGATAATATATTTAAAGACAAGATATTGCTAGTGAGCATGTAAGGAATGAAGTACATGCCAGGATAGCCAAATAATAGTGATTTACACTAGTTGATCTTAAAAGTAATAAATAAACCAAGTATTTTTTTCAGGATGATTCTAATTATATTACGCAAATAGAAGAAAACAGTCCTACATATTTGTTTAATATGTGCATTGAAGGACATGTCCTGGTCAAAAATGACTCCAAGGTTCCTCACAGTGTGACTGGAGGCCAAGGTAATGC